ATACATATAATAAAGGAGTTAACAACAGATCTGGGAACTAAGTCTGAGTCCAGTGGCACCTTTAAGACCAACAAAGTTTGTTTTCTGGGTATAAGTGAGAACTGAGTGACTTAACATGTGTAGTGAGAAAATAAACCAATATCTCTGTTAAGACCTGGAGTCAGCTATTGTATTGCAAAGGAATTCAGAAACAGACAGGAATGGGAAATTGCTGAATTACAAGTTATTACAACACTCAGAACAATGGAACTGTATCTGAGGAAGTGTACATGCACATGAAAGCTTATATCTTGAATAAAACTTTGTTGATCTTAAAGGTGCCACTGGACTCAGACTTTGTTCTGTTGCTTCAGACCAACACAGCTACCCCACCTGAATCTATGTTTCTGTATATACGTTGAATTGAGGGGGCACTAAAGGCATAGTTTGCTTAGGGCACCAAAAACTCATGGGCCAGCCCTGCAAATTAGCATGCAGAAAACCAGGCTGTACACTAACCATATACTGTTCCTTCAGCTGTTCCTCACAGAATTTAGCTTCCGAGTATCATTCAAACTATTATTCTTATATATCTCAATCAATGCCAAAATGCTTCTTCAGCTATGGCTGCTTCCACACGGGGACAAACCCCCCACTCTATCCCTGTCAGGGAAATGAGGGGTACAGGAACCTTTTTATGCATGCCCATTCCCACTGTGTTCATTTTGGGGAGGGAGAGAACCTGGCTTCCATTGCACGCAGGGAGAGAGAGAGAGAGAGAGAGAGAGAGAGAGAGAGAGAGAGAGAGAGAGAGGTTCTAAACCAAAATGCAGTGTATTCTGTTATACACTCTTAAATCAGAGTACACTTCTGCAGCATTTCAATATTCAACACAGAATATTTCAACACAACCCCAATACATAAACAGTGCACTTGTAATTCTATAGAGGACATCCTTGGTTGCTCTGCCAAGACCCATAACTGAGGGTAGTTGGCCAGAACAACCAGGAACAAAACTAAATCCGGACATTAAGTACCCTTTGCCAACCATAGGGGCTACTGTAACTGTCAGTCAAGTCTGTGACAAACATTCGAAATACATCTGACGTACACAACAAAGCTCAACCCATTCTTTCTATTTCTGGGGTCAGGGAGATCAAGGAAAGCTGGGTTAAGCTAGGTTGACTCAGAGAGTCCCAGGAAGCTAGCTTCAGATGAAGAAGAAGAAGAGGAAGAAGAGATTGGATTTATATCCTGCCCTTCACTACCCGAAGGAGTCTCAGAGCGGCTTACAATCTCCTTTCCCTTCCCCTCCCCACAACAGATACCCTGTGAGGTAGGTGGGGCTGAGAGAGCTCTTGACAGAAACTGCTCATGAGAGAGCAACTCTGAAAGAACTTATGACTGACCCAATCACACCAACAGCTGCATGTGGAGGAGTGGGGAATCAAACCTCGTTCTCCCAGATTAGAGTCGGCGCTCCTAACCGCTACACCAAACTGGCTCTGTCTATTTAGAATTTGATAGTGCCTACTGACTTCCGCCAAGTAAAACATTCCCAGAAGGCAAACGTCATGTAAGGCAGAAGTCATGTACAGTTGTTCTCCTGAAGGCCACAGCACTTAGCAGAGTCCTGAAGCCTCCTGGGAAACAGAACCACAGTTTCAGCCACAGAAGCTAATTACTATAGACACTGAAGTATCATAGGTGTGCCAGAGGTTTAGCAGAGGATGGAGGCTCAATCCAGCCCTAATTCTGCAACAATCCCTCACACCCATCACCCTTACCCCTCTGCAATCACTAGTAGGTATATCGCTTTCCCCAAAAAGCTTTCCTGGCCCCACTGCTGGACCTCCTGATGGCACCTGGTATTTTTGGCCACTGTGTGACAGAGTGTTGGACTGGATGGGCCATTGGCCTGATCCAACACTGACTTCTCTTATGTTCTTTTTTTTTTTCAGGTTGGAAAAAGCCCTCCAACAGTGTGTGTGTGTGTGCGTGTGCATATGTGTGTGTGCATGCATGTGCACATATGTGTGCAGTTTGAGAGCTGGGTGGAGCAAATCGCCCATGGGGAAGCAGCCTGTATTGCTTGGATCTGTAAGTCTGGTTTCAATGAGGGTTTTACCAGTGATTAATTGGGTACAATTATATGCCCTTTTATTATTAAGGCTACATTGCTTACCTCATTAGTTTGATTAAAACAGTAATCCTTGAGAACTCTCTGTGGAAAGCAAATAACGAAAGGCAGCCCTAATTAATTGGGCCGCATATGTAAACAAAAGAAACATCATTTGAAAAACAATGTTTTGTTCTCCTTCAGAACTACTGTTTTCATACATTTGCAAATTTAATTAAAATCATACAATTCATCGACTTGGGCTAAGGTTGCTAGCTTCAGCTTGGGAAATGCCTGGTGACACGGGAATGGGGGGGGGCTCAGAGAAATAGGATTTAGGGATGGGTGGGAGCTCAGTGGGACCAGACAGTCTGCCTGCTCAAGCTGCCATTTCCTTCAGAGGAACTAGAGGTTTACAAAACTGTGCATGGGACAGAGAAGGTGGAGAAAGCAGTACTTTTCTCCCTTTTTTCACAATACAAGAACCGGTGGGCACTCAATGAAACTACTTAGCAGTAAAGTTTAGAACAGAAAAAAAGGAAACACTTCTTCACCCAGAGAGTAATTAACACGTGGCATTCACTGCCGCAAGAAGCGGTGGCAGCTAGAAGCATAGGCAGCTTCAAGAGGGGATTGGATCGACACATGGAGCAGAGGTCCATCAGTGGCTATTAGCCACAAAGTAAAGATGGAACAAGGGCTGCGGTGGCTCAAGTGGTTAAGATGCTGAACTACAGACTGGAAGGTCGGTAGTTCAGCAGTTCAAGACCAGAGTGCCGGGTGACGGAATGAGCTCCCATCTCTGGCCAACTTAGCAGTTCATAAGCAAGAAATTGCAAGTAGATAAATAGGTACCGCTTCAGTGGGAAGGTAACAGCGTTACCTTGGCGTCTAGTCGTGCTGGCCACATGACCACGGAAATGTCTTTGGACAGTGCTGGCTCATCAGCTTGGAAACGGAGATGAACACCATATCCCTCGAGTCGGAGTCGACTGGCTTTCGAGCAAGGGAAACGTTTACCTTTACCTAAAGATGGAACACAGTGCCTGGGGCAGTGATGCTCTCTATTCTCGGTGCTTGGGGGGCAACAGTGGGAGGGCTTCTGGAGTTCTAGCCCCGCTGGTGGGCCTTCTGACGGCACCTGGGTTTTGTCCACAGTGTGACCCAGAGTGTTGGACGGGATGGGCCATTGGCCTGACCCAACATGGCTCCTCTTATGTTCTTATGAACCGATCTCTGAAGTCTGGAGACCAGCTGTAATTCCAGGAGAACTCCAGGCCCCTCCTGGAGGTTGATAACTCTAACTCAGGCCAGACTGAAACATAACATTGGCAAAACAGAAGAACATAGCCATGCAACTCTGCATGTGCTCGGCATCCCGGCTCTAACTCAGGCCAGATAACTCTAACTCAGGCCAGACTGAAACATAACATTTTCAAAACAGAAGAACATAGCCATGCAACTCTGCATGTGCTCGGCTCCCGGCTCTAGTCCCAGCTTCCGCCAACCCAGTGGCTCGAAAGGAGTTAAAAACATATAGCGAGTAGACAAATGGGTACCTGCCCTTAGAGGGGCAGGGGGCACCCTCCTCCGTGTGAGGTGTGTGGTGGAGGCATCGGCGGCAACGGCAGAACATCGGAGGCAGAGCATTGGTGGCGGCGCGAGGTCGACGGAACGCATCCTGGTGGCCAAGTACATCATCGAGCGGCTGAGTCGGACTACGACAACGGAGGCGGAACCGGAAGGCCCGGCATCGTGGAAGCGCAGGCGCAGCGGAGCCAAACGTGGACATAGCTGACGCCGGAGCGGACACGAGACTGCGCCCTAAGAACGGACCGCCGGGAAAAAAGAAGCCACCACGATCTGTCTCGAACACCAGATGGAAGTGCCGACCCCGAAGACCTTATAAGAAGACCTCGCAAAAAGTGCTGAGCCGGAGAAACAACAATGCCCACCACCAGGGTGCCGGTAGGTAGCCCCTCCCCCTCATTATGTGGCCGTAGTTAGGGACAGTAACATTGAAACCCTGTAAACCGCCCAGAGACCCTCCGGGGTCAGGGCGGTCTAGAAATCGAAGCTATAAATAAATAAATAAATAAATAAATAAATCCAGGGTTGCCAGCTCCAGGTTGGGAAATACCTGAAGATTCTGGGGGTGGAACCTGAGGAGGGCGGGGCTTGGGAAGGGGAGGGGCTTCAATGGAGTATAATGCCATAAAGTCCACCTTCTAAGGCAGCCATTTTCTCCAGGTGAACTGATCTCTGTCACTTGGAGATCAGTTATAATCCCAGAAGATTGCTAGTCACTATCTGGAGTCTGGCAACCCCATCTGATTAAAACTGGGCTCAGGGCCCCTGTGAGTGCAATGTTAGTGCATCAGAGATGCACAGCTGGAGTATGTGTTGTAATGCTGAGCTAACATTGCACAATAGCTGCTCTGCATAGCTGGTGGCTCAATTTAAATTAGACACTGGGCATGTGCAGAGTTGCCTGCGTAAAGTTTTCTTGCCCAGAAGCATCCTTTTAAAATCCGTCCTCCCACTTCTTTAATTAGATGGCCGCTCTATTTGTTATGCTGTTTACCTAGTTATCTGAACTGAGCTCAGTGGAAAGGATCTGAGTAGATTTTATGGAGATCAGGTTTTTAGGAGATAAAACACCGGCTATTTCCTTTTCAAAAGCCCAGCAGGGAAAATCCCGGCACTGCACAGGGGTTGGGTAGGGCCAAAGATGCCACATTTCCTCCCTGATTCACAGAGTAAATGAAAAAGTGAAAGACAATCGTTTATCCCAAGAAACGCAGGAAGAGCTGTGTGCAGTCTCAACAAGAGAATCCCCAACCACTACACGGAAGTCCATCTGCCTCAAGATATATACACTCACTCCCGACAGAAGTCCAGTATGGGGAACTGGGTGGTCAACCACTGGTTTTCAGCCCTGGTTATTGTAAGTGACTCTTTACTTTGTCCAGCTCTAAATGGTTGGGGGGCAAAGGAAGTTACTGATGTTTTTGAAGCTCAGATTGAAAAAAAAGAAGTAATATAAGGTTGCTCCCTTAACATTCACTTCTCGGTGCTCCTGCTTTTCCCCTTCTCTCCTCTTTCTGCTGTTTGCTATTTAGGCATATTTAAGCTGCTTTTGTACCTTCCTCTCCCTTGCCTCCGGCTGAAATTTCATTGCAGAAGAGAGAGATGTTAGTGTGGGCCACTTACGTTCTTGCAGCCTCTCCTGCTTTACAGGATTGTTGTATGGGCCAAATGGAGGGGAGGAAAGCTCGGGTTGGTATAACCCCCTTAGCTTCTTGGAGGAGGAGGAGGCAAAACGCAATAAACAGTACAAATACAATACAATACAATACAATCAACAGAGCTCCACCCTTCTAAATCCATTGAAGTCAGTGGGCTGAGAAGGGTGTGACTCTGCTTAGGACTGCGGTGCCCATGTCCTTGGGACAGGGATCTGTGGAGGGGAAGGAAATGGTGGCCATCAATGCTCCCTCTGTGGAGTCTTGCGAGCAAAAATTCTACTCTGTGCGCTACGTGGCATGAAAGTTGTGAGCGAGCGATTTGGCTACTGCATAAACTAGTTTGCTCTGGAGCCATCCTCCCTGAGCTAACACAAAAATGTGTGAGCCGGAGGCTAAAAAACAGTGAGCTAGCTCACACTAACTCAACTTAGAGGGAACACTGGTGGCCATGTAGGGGAGGGGGCTGGGGCAAGGAAAACCTAGTGAAAATTGCTTGGTGGAGGCTCAGTTGCAGCAACAGGAGCTATGCAGAGAATCCTCTCTGTGTGGCTGCCACTTAAGCAAGACCAGGGGTCATTTCCTGCAGGAGCGCACAGGAGCGGAGCTCTGGCAGTAAAGGAGCCCAGGGGGTGGGCAGATGCAACAAGCC